GATTAACAACATTGTGACAAGTAGAAAAGTCAAAACAGAAAGCATCTGCACAGAACAGTAATATTAACACTTATTGTAATAAAAATATTCACTAAATAGAGTAATTCTACAACAGTTTTGACTAACTTATTACTTATTTTTATTTCTCAAGGATTTATACAAAAGGTTAATTTAATTTGCAACGTTTCGGACATTTTAAATGTCCGTCTTCAGGCGACAAACAATTAAATTAAATTAAATTAACCTTTTGTGTAAATCCTTGAGAAATAAAAATAAGTAATAAGTTATGAACAACAAAGGTGAAAGTTTTAGAAACAAGATTAGTTTTGACTAGTTCAAGGTTTATTATTTTAATTCTTGCATAGTTATTTTGGTTTGTGAGCAATGCCAAATTGGTTCTGTTGGCAGCACTTTTGATCCAATCCTGGATATTTACATCTGTTCGTACTTAATATGAAAATCCAGGCAGACCGAAATCTTTGCAAAGTTTATATACATGATATTCTCCACATAATAAATTTATTATAATTGTTGCCAACTTGCGAGTTGCCAACTTGCTTGGGCCAGTTGTATAAAAGTCTTACAATGACTATCTTTTAAATACCCATTTCCTAGTTGAATGATAGCTATAAACACATAATTCTGATTGTTTAACTAGCTGTTCCACTAACTATTAGTTATTAAACTACTTTATTAATACAACAGTAATTGTGTTTTCTTCAATTGAATATTCCATAGAATGTGCACCAAAATCGTTTAGAATATGCTATAGAATATTCAACAGACGTCTATAGAATATTCTATAGAATTCAGCTGAATATTCTATTGGATGTTCCATAGAATATCCCATAGAATATGTTCCAAAATCGTTTAGAATATGCTATAGAATATTCAACAGACGTCTATAGAATATTCTATAGAATTCAGCTGAATATTCTATTGGATGTTCCATAGAATATCCCATAGAATATGTTCCAAAATCGTTTAGAATATGCTATAGAATATTCTATAGAATTCAGTTGAATATTCTATTGAATGTTCCATAGAATATCCCATAGAACATCCCATAGAATGTGTTCCAAAATCGTTTAGAATATGCCATAGAATATCCTATAGAATATTTCAATGTAATATTCTATAGAATATTTTCGTAAGGGTGCATAACCTCTCAATTTGATGACAGTTTAGTGTTTTAATACTGCCCAGAATACTGGTGATCAAAGTCAACGTGCAAAATTTAAAATTTCACACTCGAGTTGCCCTTCTATTTCCTATTCTATGGTGCCAGCCTTTTGGTCAATTATTAATATTTTGTATATCAACATACCAGCTGTGAGCTGCTGACAACATGCTGTGATCAGCCATCATGTTTTGATATTTGACGAAATTTAAACAATTCCAGGGTTTATATATTTGTATTTAAGGCAATCTGCAACTCCACCACATATAGCTCCATTCAATATCGTTATATTATTTTGTAAAACAATGCTTTCCCCCTTTCAAACAGTGGGACAAATTCTTGTTTGCAGAATTTGCAGGTGAGTGATATTTAATAAACTGATTATTACCAATTTTACAATTTGCGCGCCGCAATTTTATATCGCCAATAATGTCGCCAAAATGTCGTGAAGGAAATTAGCCATTACGAAAATTTGAAATTTCCATTCAAGATAATTTTCATTCATTACTGACTCAAGATAGACTTCTGCTAGTCTAATTTCATTGCAAAAATTTCATCACAGCTTGAAAGAGCATCACAAAATTAGCAATATTCCAAAGTTTCGTTGCGAAATGTAGTCCGTCCGAGCTCTATCTGGCGCGTGTATATGTAAATATCTATAACCCCTTACGCCTAGCGATGTACGTAAATTTATATTATTCTTTTCAATATTTATTTACCGTAAATTTTGAGATAAGTTCAGGGGCATACAGCGCACTCAGATTTATATAAGTTAGCATGACATGATGACATAGAAAGTATTAAAAAACCAAAATATCGTCGAGTCAACAAACAATCGTTTAGTCAACCAACCAAGTAGAATCCCAATTCTCGGTAACTGCCAGACAATTGCAGAATCACTAGGAAGCAAGTACTCTGATGCGCAGTTTAGCAAAACTTAGCTATATAATCACAATCACTACACATATTTGATCAAAATAATATCTTGATTATTTAATATCGACACAAAATCACTTAATAATGTACGCAAGTGTGAATACTATGCCTCCAAAAATATTCACACAATATTCAAACGTATTCTAGGTGAGAATATGAGGTGCGTTTTATTCTAAGGTATTCACAACTGAATACTACTAATATTCCGAGGATATTCGCAGTGAATATCAGTGAATACGTGTGAATATTCATCATATTCAAATTGATATTCGCACGTATTCACATCTGAATACTTGGCTTTTCATGCAGTGTTTAATATTTGGCATACAGTGCAGAGGATTTCAAAAGTATCAGAATTTCTGATACTTTGGACTACCAGCCTGCAATCTTAAGTATATTTGAGATAGAGACGATTTGAAAAGTATCAGAATTTCTGATACTTTGGACTACGAGTTTCTGCAGTTTTAAGTATATTTCACACATAAGGGACTTGAAAAGTATCAGAATTTCTGTTACTTTGGACTATATCGGTCTGCAATTTTAAGTATATTTGACATACAGTACAGAGGATTTCAAAAGTATCAGAATTTCTGATACTTTGGACTACCGGTCTGCAATTTTAAGAATATTTGGCATACAGTGCAGAGGATTTCAAAAGTATCAGAATTTCTGATACTTTGGACTACCAGTCTGCAATTTTAAGTATATTTGAGATAGAGAGGATTTCAAAAGTATCAGAATTTCTGATACTTTGGATTACCATTCTGCAGTTTTAAGTATATTTCACATATAAGGGATTTCAAAAGTATCAGAATTTCTGATACTTTGGACTACCGGTCTGCAATTTTAAGAATATTTGACATACAGTGCAGAGGATTTCAAAAGTATCAGAATTTCTGATACTTTGGACTACCAGTCTGCAATTTTAAGTATATTTGAGATAGAGAGGATTTCGAAAGTATCAGAATTTCTGATACTTTGGATTACCAGTTTCTGCAGTTTCAAGTATATTTGAGATACAGAGGATTTCAAAAGTATCAGAATTTCTGATACTTTGAACTACCAGTCTCTGCACTTTTAAGTATATTTGAGATACAGACGATTTCAAAAGTATCAGAATTTCTGATACTTTGGACTACCAGTCTCTGCAGTTTTAACTTTTAAATATATTCGAGGTATACAGGGTTTCAGAAATCGTTGGTATATTTCGAAAATTGTATATTTCAATTGAAGCATCTCATTGTCTTTAAAATTTTATGCTGCTTGATAAGGTGCATCTATATTTTCGCATTTCCAAGATAATGTATTGTAATTTGCTTATTCGTAATTCTTGGTAGTCCGTATCCTCTATTTTTTCAGAAAAAAATTCAAGGTCAGCAAGATTTTTTGAAAACGATTGTTTATGTTGACGAGTTTTTCTATGGAAACAGTTTTCGCGCTTTAAGCGTGATTTTGCATCATGCTTTTTTCTCAAATATCAATTTTTTCGACTTATTTTACAGATAGTATAAAGCCATTCAAACATTTTTAAAAGTTTTTTTTATATTTTGCGGAAAATTAGCATAAAATCTGCAAAATGAGAGGAAAATAGCCAAAAAAATGAATTTTGGAAAATGCAAAGATAGTTTGGAACGCGTTCTAGATAGTGTTTTCTTCAAAAACGCGTTTTCGTGGGGTGTTTTTAATTATTTTGACGGCGCGGGCCGGTGGAAATATCATGGAAAACATCCAAGCAAACTCAGGTAAGCAAACCTTTTTTGCGAAATAATTTGTTATAAAGGTTATTGACCATTTTTGTAGACCTTAGTTTGATTTTTGAAACACTTGCGTCAATTTAAATCTAATATCCGGTGTGAAATCGGCGTAAATATTTACGTTTTTTTGCAATACAACTGTCAAAGATCACGGTCAAATAACCGCCATTCTTGTTGTGTTTTGAAACTGTTTACAGCGCAATTTTTTTACAAAAAATATCAATATTTAAATCATGGCATAATAAACATAAAAGGAAATTTTAGCTGGTGTGATAAGATGAAATGTTTCATGGATTGTTTGGTTTCTTTTCGCTGTTTTGCATGCAGACATCGACTGATCGACAACAATAACAAGTAAGAGTTAATTACCGAGAACCGAGGCATTTAGTCAAATATTAAATGCCGAGGTTCGAGGTAATTAACTGACTTATTACATGATTGAGAAGGTTTTCACAAAAGAATAATAACAGCATTTAGTGGACGTTTATGAAGACAATGGGTATTGTTGTGTTCAAAGAAGACAAATGATCTTAGGCCCGTTTTAAACGTCGAGCTTTTTATGTACCGAATACATTAAAAACGATAGATAATCTGCTAAGGTACCTCATTATCTATTGTTTTTAATGATTTCTGTGCATGAAAAGCTCGAAGTTTAAAACGGGCCTTATTTGTTAGCCAAGTTGGAAATAGTTTTGCTTTGAATTGTTCAAATGCCTAAAATTTTGTACAGGGTGTATAAAAAAAAAACGCAACCTCGGAATTTCCCAAGAAATCGACATTGTTTTAAAGACAAATGATTTCAGGCGCCTGGGTATTTAAAATAGCACAACTGTCAAAATTACTGCACACGCGAGTGCATAAAGCAAAATTTATGCATTTATTTAATGCACAACAACAGTAATATGATCTATTAGCAATTCGATTTCAATTCCCAGGGGCCTAAAATCTTTTATGCTTAAGAATTGCAAATTGATTTCTTAGGAAATTCCGAGGTTGCGTTTTTTTTTTACACCCTGTATAGTTGTATGTAGATTTAGGATTTTATGGTATGTATGATTAGAAGTGAAATTACGTGGGAAGTGCTAGTAGAATTCGCGTAGTGTTATTTGTTTTAGTCGAGTTTAAACAGAATGGCGGATAGCGAGGACGACGAAAGTTTAGCGGGTTTGACGCAGAACACGTTTCTGAAGGCACCTTTAGAGCCTTGTTTCGACCTGTTCAGTGGATTATTGGAGGGCGATTGTAATGTTGGTGATGGTAGTAATAATACCTCGAATGATACAATAACATATTATGATCATATTTTAACGGCGGAGAAAGAATTAAATGAAGCCTTAAAATGCCGCTACTCTGAAAATAGGCGAAAAATATCGCTAGTTACAGACAAGGAAGTTGAGTTGATTAAGGAAAGTCGAATTCCAAATAACACGAAACACAACACTAGTTGGTCTGTCGGCGTTTGGCAGGATTGGGCAAAAGGAAGAAACGCGAGAGTAATAGAACTAGGCGTTGTCGACAAGGTAGTCATGTCAGATATTTTAAAAGTGCCTGAAGAAGAACTTAACTATTGGTTAGCTAAGTTTGTGGTCGAGGTTCGCAAGAAAGGCAGAATTTTATCCGCGATACGACACTTTATCAGATATGTTGTGGGCTATTACGATTTTTGCGAAATAATGGTCGGGCAGCAGTAGTAATATAGGGGCCGTTCGACCCCCATTTTTGGGGCGGCGCGGGGCGGCGTGGGGTGGCGCATCATTATATATGCAGGTAATTACTATGCAAGGGGGCGGCGCATCATTATATATGCAGGTAATTACTATGCAAGGGGGCGGCGCGCATTATATATTCAGGTAATTAAGGGGGCCGCACAAGTGAGGGTGCGTAGTGACGTCACGCGGGCCTGCCCGGGCGAAATTGGACAAAATTTGCTGACTACGCATTTTTTAGCGTCCCCCACGTTTATGATACAATTGAGGGATTAATGTTTGCCTACTATGAACTTTTATACAAGTATCTGTATAAAATCGACAAGCGTTTTGTAACAAGCCTAGTTCCACATCAGTCATGGCGTGTCTACACGGCAAAACCACATCTTACAATTTATTGGAAGGAATTTTTGCGAATGCAGTCGCACAAGAAGTTGAAAGACTTTGTGTGGAATCCTGTAATGGTTGTCAAGTCGGTCATCCTAGTCAAAGACAACATGACTGCCTCATGATGAACGAAAACGAACGATGGCAAATGTATGGTTTACAAGCGATCGAACGCGTGAATGGTAAGCCTATGGTTTGGAACGAATTCGGTGAGGCAATGAGGGTACTAAAACTGGCGGTTGACAGAGATGTACTCGAACATTTACATCAACTGGAAAAAGACCCAGATTCTACGTTTGTCGATTCATTGATGGAACTACATCAGAACACTGAGAACCACGAATTACAATGTATACTGAACTATTTGTTTCATTGGAGATTAGAAGACCCGCTCGAGTCAACAGCTGAAGCGTTTTTTTCGTACCCACCGAGTTACATGTATTATGTGAAGGCGACGGGTGAACGATTTAGAAGTTTTGAGGCAGATCATAAGAAAGCTTATCAAGAACTCATGGAGAAAAAACTTATAGAACAGTTTAACAAATAGTTTTAGTTCTAATATTTTTTGACACTATCATCTGTTATTTGTATCAATAAACATGTTTTAAGCTTTGCAAATTTGCGTTGTTTATGCGTTGCTAAGTCATTAGGAGGTGTGTAGGTAATTAAGGGGATTAAGGCAATACGAATTTGCATAACTAAGTGTATCCCGATGGATAGATAGGGATTATTTTTAACGCAGGTGTATACCTTAAAATCAGGCGCGTGGCTTTGCGGGTGCATGCACATATTAACGTACAACATATTTGTACACTAATCAGGCGGGCGGATCGCGCGGGCGGAAAGAGCGGGCTTTGTCGGCAAAAATTTACACAATATTTTAGTTTTTAAATACATTTATTTCTTCAAAACGTTTTACAAAATTTAGTACGGTCTACTTCTAAGAGCGTAACGTCTAGGTGTTTTTGTTATTTTTAAAGAGTTTTCATATTCTTGTCTATCTTCTGGGGATAATCTTGCAACATCTTCATCCTTCATTGGAATATATTTTGGTCTTTCTTTTAGTAAAAAACGTTCATATCGCTCTCTTTCCTTTGGTTTCATCATAGCCAAGTCACTTACTTTCCAATCAGCAGAATCTACCCAATTGTGAAAAAAGTTGTGCTTGAGTTTTGGTCGTTCACCTTCTGTTGGTGGTGGCGTAAGAAAATTAGGTTTAGGCGTAGCAGGCACTGGTGGTGGTGGTATTTCCGCTGGTACAGGCGTAGCATGCACTGGTGGTGGTATCTCTGCAGGCATTAGTGAAGTTCCCTGAACAGGAGCTTGAGCCGGAACATCCATCTTATTTTTGAATGTGAGAAACCGATTTAGTTGATCCGAATATAATTTGCTTTTTTCCACCACAGTAAGTTGTGGCGCTTCCATGATTTCTTTCATTCGCTGTTCGGCATCATACATTGCATTTACAAGTGACGATACGACTGTTTGTGTAAAAACTTTGTAATCTCGCCTGGAAGTATGTTGGTCTTGAGTCGATCTTGGTCACTCGTTGTCGGCTTTAAATCCAACATCAAATACCCATGAGGTCGGCTCGTGGCATCTTCATCACTCTTCATAAACTCTTGTACTTTCCCGGGATTTATTTGCCTTGCAAGTATAGAAATTTGCTGTTTATCTCTTGGTGACTTGAACAACACGATATAATGAGCATTAAGGCTGATATTTCTCATTTCTTTGCCCTGATGAAATATATTTTGGACAATAAAGATGATGGACAAGTTTCGATGATGGCTTCCTTTCGTAAAAAGATCAGAAATACGTTTATCTTTGCCAGATTGAGCCATAAGGTCGTCCAATACGATCAAATTCCGTTGAGATACGTCCAAGTAATCTGCGTTGTCGATGTCTTCGGGGATACCTTGATTAAACCTGATTCCAGGCATCGTTCTCATCATATCAAAATAGGAGGGTTGCCACTGACCATAACACCAGATGATACGTTGAGGAGCAGGACTTATAGTCGTTTGAGCATTCTCCAAAAGAGATTTCACCCATACGGTTTTGCGGCTTTGTGTACACCCAGCTACGATGCACGTGAAAGGATGCTGCATAACACTGGACCTATTACCGATTACAGTTAACCTTCGTTCATCTGTACTGGTGCTATGCATTTGTTTTTTGTGACGTGAACGGTTACCAGGTGTTGAAAACGATCTTCCACAGACCTCGCAAGGATAAGACATGTTTACAGGTTCACAATCAAATGTAAAATGAATTCGAGGTTTGTGTACCGTTACATAAATAGTATTATATGGTCAAACCAACATAAATAATCTTATGATATCCTAAGATACTGTATGATATCCTAAGATACTGTATGATGTCCTAAGATGTTGTATGATATCCTAAGATACTGCATGATATCCTAAGATACTGTATGATATCCTAAAATACTGATATCCTAAGATACTGTATGATATAATAAGAAACTGTATGATATCCCAAGAGACTGTATGATATCCTAAGATGCTGTATGATATCCTAAGATACTGCATGATATACTAAGATACTGTATGATATCCTAAGATACTGTATGATATACTAAGATACTGTATGATATCCTAAGATACTGTATGATATCCTAAGATACTGTATGATATCCTAAGATACTGTATAATATACTAAGATACTGCATGATATCCTAAGATACATTATGATATATCCTAAGATACTGTATGATATACTAAGAAACTGTTGATATCCCAAGATACTGTATGATATCCTGAGATACTGTATGATATCCCAAGATACTGTATGATATACTAAGATACTGTATGATATCCTAGGATACTGTATGATATAATAAGAAACTGTACGATATGCCAAGATACTGTATGATATCCTAAGATACTGTATGATATCCTAAGATACTGCATGATATACTAAGATACTGTATGATATCCTAAGATACTGTATGATATCCTAAGAT